ACTTTTTTGACGAGTTGGAGTCTCCGAATACTCTTCAAAGGCTGCCCCATGTAGAGCGCATTGCAGTAGTCCAGTCTTGAGGTCACGGGGGCCTTCTGGGCTCAATTGTGGTGGTAGGTCGAGGGCTACCTACATGATCCTTCTTTCAAAACATCTTCGATTTTTTTCTGCTCTACTGTGACCTGAATAGTGAGACCTCGTCAAAAAAGTCATAACACCAAAGAGACTTTTTCTCCTAATTCTCAGAAACATAACACAACCAGGTAAACACGCACGTGTTATCAGGCAGACAGCACACTTGGCTCGGCACTTCCCGTGCAAATAATTATTTAGTACTCAAGAGTGTTGATCTATTGGGTAATTCAAATAGTACAAAGTCTTCGACCCTATTATGTTTTCGACTTTCCGCGGATTTTTCTGCTGCGTCGACGAAATGTTCATTTATTAACTTCTCTTCCAGATTGCTGACCTCCAGCTTCATAAGATAGATGAGTTGGACTGCCTTATCCAAGGTCTCCTCTATGTGGATTCCGTCGGCTTCAACGGGCAGCCGGAATGCTATTATTTTGAAAACCCCTCGTCCCCGGAGCGGTGTCAGAAAAAGCCTTACTGCCTCGATAACCCCTTCCCTATGTTGCTAGTTAACATAGGCTCCGGAGTCAGCATCTTAGCCGTCTATTCCAAAGACAACTATAAGAGAGTTACAGGGACCAGGTGAATATGCTATCTTCCAAAAAGAACTTTTTTCCTGACGAAACGACTCTCTTGGCCTGGGAATAGGGATCCCCCCAACCACACAGTAGCGGAATCTAAAATTTGCATTTTGGGGTGTGGCTTTGAAGCGCGACGAGCCACGATATCCATATTTATTACTTTAGATTGAAAAGTTCTACTGTGAATTATAAAGGGATTAGAGCTTCTTGATGGAGCCGAGGTGGTGCAGTGGTTTAGAGTGCTGTACTGCAGGCCACTTCAGCTGACTGCAGTTCGGCTGTTCAAATCTCACCGGCTCAGGGTTGACTCAGCCTTCCATCCTTCCGAG